CTTTCAGCTAAAACCCCAGCAAAAAATGGGCACAAATCCAAAGCTGAGGGGGCTTGGCTGTATAGCAAAGATCCTGAAAGTAACTCATGGCCAGGATTTACATCCAGGCAAGATGGGAGCCAAAATACTTAGAGGCGAGATAGGGTCCTCCCACCCTCAGCAGTCTGGAGCCAGGAAAATAGCACAAGGGCTGAAGTTGCATCAGCTGCAGCCCCAGAAATCCACACAGATGAGCAGCACCTCCTGGTCAGGGAGTTACCCCCTCACACAAGGCTTTGAAAAGCTTGCAGAGCAGAGATCCCGTAGTTCCTGGAGCCACCCAGAGTCCCAGCTGCAGGCAGGGAAGGCAGGAGTCACTTGAGAGAGAGGAAAAGGGCTGAGGGGCAGGTTTGGGGCAGGAGGGATGTGATATTGTCTGCCCTGGAGGAAGGAAGCAAGGGGGTGTTGGCCCTGCTCCTGAAGGCAGGTGCATGGCTGAATTTATCAAGGGGAAGGAAGCAAGCCTGCGAGTGCTGGATGGCTCCAACAGACCTCATGGGCAGTCATGGGAAGAGGCCCAACACTGCAATGCAGCTTCGCACGGCTTGGCAGGACACAGCTGCGTTGAGGGGGTGGCTGCAGTGGCCCCCTGCAAGCCCCCCACCAGCTGCAGCACTGGGCCGGGCTCTCCAGTGCCCAGAGTACGCCCGGTCGGCGCAGCAACCTGCCGGCCAGGGAGATGTTTGTTCCCAGGCAGGGTCTGAAGGCTCTGCGTGCCTATGCAGACCACAAGACGCAGCAAAGGGAGCAGTGAATTTGCTCGTCTGGTAAAGGACATGCCCAGAAAAGTTTGCCTCAGCTATGCAGCATCAGGAACAGCCAGTTCCCCCTCTCTGCTCCATCGAGTCCTGCACAAGCTCAGAGATAGGGAGTGAGAACTTCATCAGCCACAGATCAGAGGGCACTGGAGTCTTGCCATTTTCTAAGATACAGAGAAAAAAACAGGCACAGATGAAAAAGCATTGGAGTCAGCATTTTAGGTGAGGGTAAGATCATCCTTCAATCTGCACTTCCTTGATTGCTGCGAAAGCTGCCTTTCACAAGCCAGGGTGTCTCCTGGGGAGCAGGACGGGCTCTGGGTTTGCTGCTGACGTGGGGGTACATCTCCCCAGGGCGACAGGGGTGGGTGGGCAAGCCAGAGGTTTGAGATGCTGATAGTGAAGAGCCTCTGGCTGCAAAACTTGTTCCACTGCTCCTAGCACGAACTGCTGCCACATCCCCAGCCCTGGGCTCTCCTCCAGCCGGAGCAGGTCACAGACAGCATGGAGGGAAGGAGGTGGCTCTTACAGCACCTGGTTCAGCCAGGATGCTGCAGCCTAGGGAGACTCAGGCTTTTCTGTGAACATGCCCGCTTAAGGGCTACTGAAGACAGACACATCCAGCCCGCTTGAGGGCTACTGAAGACAGACACATCCAGCTCAGGAAGATGCTGGCTCACAAAATGGCTGGAAATCAGCGAAGGGACCTGGAATACTATTGCAGGCTGTTTGCCCTCCCCAGGGCAGCTCACCTCAGATCTAGGACACCGGGCTAAGGGAACTGTTGGTCTAACTCAGTGCAGCTCAGCATGTTACCGACCATGTAAGAGCAGCCTCGGCATCTAAATGTTTTTTAGCACAAAACTCACACCAAGCTCATAAAGTTGAGCAGACCGGCTCATGCAAGCTGTGTGTGTGCTGGTAGCCCAGAATAAGGAGACAAACCTTCCCTCTAGCGGCTGCATAGCACAGAAGTCTCACAGTTACCTTCTCTCCCCACATCAAGACCTACAGCATTATTTTGACCAGCCCTTAGGCTCACCACACATCCTAAGCACATCAAATCTTACAACCCCTACAATAGTTTTTAGTGCCTTAAAACTAGCACAGCTGCCAGTTTGCACAAAGCTGCAGATAGACCTGGGGGTCTGTGACCACGCTGCGGCTTTCAGGCACCCATCCCCATGGCCAGCCGGCAGCACAGGTCATGCACAAGTGCATCCTGGGCACCAAAGCCACACAGCCACAAAACACCGTTGGCCTATTTCTGCAGCAAGGATGGTTTGTGGGGCCAATTCTTCAGCTGAGTTACTCTCCTTTACAGCAAGCATTCAGTAGGACCTTGGATCACACCTCGAGTTTCTCTTGGACCTTTTTATTATGGGTCTTTGTCCCAGTTTCAGCCTTATCACCACCACAGCAGCAGTCAGCACAGATCTGAGTGTACTGTTCAAGTCCTAACTGTAGCAACAAGCACATACTTTAGCATATATATTTCCAAAACTACTGAAAGTTTCCACTTATCCGTTTACAAATTAGGGAGCTTATTCACAAAGTGTCAGAATTGCACCCTACAAGTGGGCCACTGAATGTTGAAACAACTTGGTTTTCCATGACCAAGATGCTCTGGTTTGATGATGCAGCATCTCAGACTACTGGGCCATCTGCTCTTATAATCTGTATTCCTACATGACGTTATAATCTATAGAAATACAGTTTATAATCTGTATACAGATCATACAGGGATACTATCTGAAGCTTCCCCACTCACAACAGCATTTCAGTGGCACAGTCCATCAGTCTGACGTCCTGGAAAAAACACAGTGGTAACACTTTCTGGGGCTGCAGCAAGCCCTGTCCCCAGCAGCAGATCTGGGAATATCTCCCAGTAGGGTGTGCAACTTTCAGTTTTGTAAGCCCTCAGCTATCTCCCTGCCATTGCACACACAAGCACATGCAAGTCTAGCCAGCTCTTCACTCCTCTGCTCCTCGGGGAGACGCCATACAGCACCAGATCGTTGACACCAAGTCAGCCATTTCTGTGCCAAGTGGTCTCACCCTGGCACAAGGGTTAACGCGTTACTGCATGCACTGCAAGGCACATAAATACACCTGCAGAAAGAAGCCCTTGCTCCCTCTGTCAGTCGATTCCACCTCTGCCAGGGCCAGAAAGTGCAGTCCCTTGCAAAATGCCTGCAGGCTGTATGATCAACTTGGCCTTTTCAGTTTGGGTCTTATTTACAACTGTTCCAACGCATACAATGTGGATGTTTGCTTTTTTTGCCTGGGCCATTTCTGCCTGTCTTAAACCCTTGGAGAAGTTCTTAGCTTGGGATTAATCACAGGATGGGTTGAAAAAAAAAAAAAAATCAAAACACTCAAACTTACAGGTAGTGACTGCTACAGCCTTTTCTAGAGACTTTGGTCTTTTAAGCTCAGAAAGAGGCTCAGATTTGGAAGCCTTAAATTTTACTCCTGGTGCCCAATACTCATCCAGGGATGTTATATTATAGCTATATTAAAAATTAATTCAGCAACTTTGACTTCTTCAAAGGAGGAAGTGAATAATTAATCAAAACTGCCCTTATTTCAGCTAAGGGAAAATGATAACAGAGCACAAATGCTATAAAATAGAAGTAGAAAGGCTCTTTATTAAAGGTAATTTGCTGTTCAGATTGTAACAGCCCTATCCACACCTCCTCTGTTATTCCCCTGCTATGCACACACTCACTGACCCAACGCAATCAGAAACAAAAAGACGTTACCAGGGAGCGAGACCATCTCCTTGCAGCAAAGCGACAGAAGGCATGCCTCTTCTAAAAACATCTCCCAACTCCCTGAACGGACAGGAGTTCACATGCAACATGTAAAAGTTGCTGCTAAAATAGACCCCAACAGTAACACCTTACTATCTACCATTACTGTTTAGCTGAACACTGTTCATGTCCAAAGAATGGGCTGAGAAAGTACAGACTGACAGTGAGTATTACAGCAACAGGGCCCGACAACTACACTAGCAAACAGATTGTGTAAGAGCCCTTTATAACTAATCAAGCCTCCATATCAGGTCATGGTTAAGGGCAGTACAGAAAATCTGGCACTAGCCCAAAGAACTGGTCTTCCTCTGGCAGAGAAGCGAGAGGCACACTCTTCGTGCCTCCATTTCTTTGGCAAAGGAGGGAACGCTTGCCAGCGTCAGCAGTCTGATGGGAAGACACAATGTGGCCTGGACATAACGGATAATTAGTGCCAAGGGCAAGTAAGTGCCAGGGATTTGGTGTGGATCTGGGAAATATTTCAGCTGGGAAGCTCCTGGCTGTCCTTGGTTCACTTATTGACCTGTGCAGCGGTGGTATACTGGTAATCCATGCACAGGCTGCACACCGCACTGCTGCATATGCCCTTGTCACAGATGCACTGGCTGCCTCTGCTGGAAACGAAAACAAGAGAAGCTTAAAGCACGATTGCTTTGGAGCTTTTGTTGAAGGCAGGTTTAAAAAACCAAACCTGCTGCAGTCTGTAAAGTCAGAAGCTTACCAGCACTGCCATGTTAAAGCAGCTATGCATATTCACACCAATACTTTTTTTTCCATGAACTGTCACTTAACAATGGAGAAGCCAGTTGGTGGCTCTCTCTCTGTTACTATGCCAGTCCATCCTGCTTTTATCATGGATAGTATGCCTTTCCTGAAATGGGAACAAGAGCTATTTTCTCTGTCCCTTCAAATACCATTTGTAGAGT